AGAATAATTTATGCAATATTAGGTATTGGATTTTTAGGTTTTATTGTTTGAGCACACCATATATTTACTGTAGGGCTTGATATTGATACTCGAGCATACTTTACTTCTGCAACTATAATTATTGCAGTTCCTACCGGAATTAAGGTATTTAGATGACTTGCAACGTATCATGGGTCAAAAATTAGATTCAACATTTCGTTCATATGATCTATTGGATTTATCCTAATATTTACAATTGGAGGACTAACAGGGATTATGCTATCTAATTCATCAGTTGATATTATTCTGCATGACACGTATTACGTTGTTGGGCATTTCCATTATGTATTATCAATAGGAGCTGTATTTTCAATTATTGCAAGATTCATTCACTGATTTCCAATATTTTCAGGGGTTATAATGAACCAGAAATGGTTAAAATTTCAATTCTTCTTTATGTTTATAGGTGTAAATTTAACATTCTTTCCTCAACACTTCTTGGGTCTTATAGGAATACCTCGTCGATACTCAGACTACCCTGATTCTTATTATTGTTGAAATTTTTTATCATCAATTGGATCAATAATTTCAATTAATAGGCTATTATTCATAATTTATATTATCTATGAAAGATTTTCATCAAAACGTTTAGTTATTTTTAAATTCAATCAATCTTCGCTGGAGTGATTAAATAGTTATCCTCCATTTGACCATATAATTAATGAAATTCCAATCTTATTCGTTTGCAAAATCAAGAATATTTTTAATTCATAGTTTAATATGGCAGAATTAGTGCTTTGAATTTAAGATTCAAGAATGAAATATTATATTTTTATTAAAAATCTCAACATGAAACATATACATATTTCAGGATTCAAATTCGTTCTACTCTGACAATCTCATCTCTTTTCATAACTTTGTAATAATATTTGTTCTAATAATTACTTCATTGACTTTGTTTTTTATTATAGATCTTATAACCTAACACTTATTCCAACTTAAATTTACTTAAAAATCATAATATTGAAGTTGTGTGAACTATCATGCCTATAGTAATTTTACTAATCATCTGCTACCCTTCTCTCTTAAAATTCTTTACTTTATTGATGAAATAGTTAATCCTTATTTCTCAATTAAGGCCATTGGACATCAATGATATTGATCGTATGAGTACCCTGAGTTTAACAATCTTGAAATTACTTTGTTATATAAAGGAATACTCAGATAAGGAAACTTTTCGTTTATTGGAAACTGATAATCGAGTTATTTTGCCATTCAAGATTTCACTACGTTTGATTGTTTCATCAATAGATGTTATTCATTCATGAACAATTCAATCGTTAGGAATTAAAGTAGATGCAGTTCCAGGTCGAGTCAATCAACTTAATCTATTTTCCATTCGCCCTGGAATTTATTTTGGACAGTGCTCAGAAATTTGCGGAATCAATCACAGATTCATACCAATTTGCTTGAAAGTACAAGTTATCATAACTTCATTAATTGAGTAAACTCAGTTGCAGAAAACTGAAAATTTAGTTAATACATAACATTAAAATGTCATTTTAAAGTAAATTTATACAATTAATTTTCTATTCCACAA